CAGAAACTTGGTAAATAACTCAGAGTATTCTGTCTTAAGACGCCAAAAAAACGAAATCTCGAAACTTTTCTTCTGCACTTTTCAAATACTCTCCAAAGCTGGTGGGACTCAATGAATGAACATAAACAATCAACGAACGTCTTAAAAGTTGCATTAACAGTTCAATGTCCAAATTTGGCCATCGTGAACGCCCAATGTTCATTTACATCATGTAACATTGCAACACATCGACACTTGCATACGGAAAGCGCATAAAAATTCATATCGAGTAGATGCCCACTCGAAGTGATTTCCAATAAGAAAAAATTACTCGCAGCTTTCAGCTGTTCGAAAAGTCACTGTACCTGAATACTATATAAACACAGGCCGGCGGCAACAGTACTTCGGTACTTTCTTGAGCTTTACAAACCAGTCCTAAGTCCAAACCAGGTAGAGCCCCCCTTCTTCACCGCATCAATGCACGCCAATGCGTTCATCAAGCACATGGCCTACGATAATATTATAGACTATACGAGAGCTTGCCATGTGCTGTTGTCTGCTCGCCCAAAATTTACCAGGTTTAGAGCTTGAAATAAAAAAAAGCTTTATAGCAAAACTTCCTGGAAGTGGCCGAAGCTTTCGTTGCGAAGCAAAAATACAAATGTCCTACTTTAAAAGCTAAGGCTATAAGTAATCATTTACTAATGCCCCGTTTGTTAAAAAGCTGCCAAAGAATCAGAACTTTTGTATGTTTCTAACTGAAGCTCTTTGATTGCACTCAATGAATTGTAAGTGCAAATTTGCAACACTCTTCAATTGAAACTTGAGGAGAATCACTGGGATTTCCAAGGGATTTTGAGGATTTTGGCGTTCAGACGCCTGCATGCTTACTTGAAGGCTCATTATCAGCAGCTTCTGATCTCAACCGACTACCTCGCATAATTCTGAAGACTTCTACAAGTTGTAACCAACGCAACGTGTCCCAACACACAAAACCTGGCCGCCTTAAAAAGGCAACAAACTTGGCAAAAACTCATCAACCGCTCGCAGAGTTTCACCAAGCTGCAGTTTCTCCAGTAGCTTCAAAGCCTCCAAAGTCGTCTCCATCACGATTTGGCTCAACTTCCTCACACAAACTTTAGCTCCAATGCCCCACTGATAAGCACTATCATCTTCATCATTTGAAAATTGTTTGGGTTCACTGACCATTGAAGAACCCAAGCATTTGTACCATCGAGCACGGAACCTCACTACGGAATTTCGTTCGAAAAGTCTGGCAACGATGGCGTGAAGTGAAACTTCGTGCAGCTAAACCACGCTTTGGTTTTCGAATTTAGTCGGATACGAAACCCGTGTTTTATCTTCGTTGAAAGGAGCGTAGGGAATTTGTTTGTACGGCGCGATGTTTTTGCTCAAAAACCTCTGGAAACTCGCTTGAAACAGCCAGTGCGGAACCTTACGAAGTTTTTGCGTTCGGAAATGAAACGATCAAATCGACTCGCATTGGTGGTGTGTCTTTGTTTTAGTTTTCTGTGAAAGTGGCCCATTTCTTTGGATATCTAAGTTTTTCTGGAATTTGGATTACTTTGTTTAAGGTGATTATCGCGAAGGCTTTTAGTGCGTCTAAATCGTCCGTAAAATGACCTTATCACTAACTGAAGACACTTTTGCAAGTTGGAACATGTTATATGGCGCCTTCGTCATTCGTGAACTATTAATTATTTGATTAAAATTATGATGAAATTAAATTATTAGTGATGAAACCAAATTTGGCAAATCGAAGGACCGACGAATTAATTCACTGTTTTCCGGCCTGTTTATTTTGAAAACATAGATTCCACTTCAAAAGGTTGCTTGCCTATCGTCTAATTGAACTCTTCCTACACGTCGCAAAACTCCCTTTATCCTTTGGTTTATTTACGTTGCGGTCAAGGGCTTTTCGATAAGAAGCGCTTGTTTGCTCTATTTTCCTTAAATAAATTGATCAAATTAGAGGCACAAACCTTTTAAAGGTGACAAGAGCAACAGTCACCTATTTTTCCGGTTCAATAAGACATTTGCCTAGATTATTTGCTAATTTAACACAGACAGTCGTCAGATAAATTGCAGCCAACTGAATAGATTGCGATTATGAAATTTCCATTATATGGCCTTCTACAAGCTTGAGATTTCAGTCTAATTTAACGTGTTTTAGGGTCCCAAAGATAGTGAAACGGAAAATCGTGGATTAACTCAACAAAGCATTTTTCCACATGTTTTCCCTCCAAATTTGACTGAGTGATTAAGCTGAAAAATCCTACTGTTGCGAGAGTGTTTTGCTGCCTAATTGCGAATATCTCGAATATGCTGCTTTGTTCATACTTCGATCAAGAGTACTTTTTTGTCGAAAATTAATAAGAGAATAGACGTAAACATTTAAAAGTTGATATGCAAAGTGGCTAAAAAAGTTGCGACCTTTTAATGCAACGTTTATACGACAGAGATCAGCGTAGGTCCGTTCATTACCAGTTTTTCATGAACTGCTGACATACATATTTTGGATTTTTCCAATTTTGTCGAAAGGTGCAAAGAAAGGCTGAAATAAGATGTAACTTTGTATGCCCATTAACAGGCCGTGCCGGAGAGAATGAAGTTGAAAACATCAATTTTTAGATCAATATTTTCCAACCTGGCAAAACTTTTATTGTACGGTATTTTGGACGTTTTTTTAAACTTCGCGAATCTATTAGATAAAGTTTCTTTTAAACATAGTCAGAATTTCAGGTTTATACTTGCGAATTATTAAAAAAAGACAACGCAGTTGACTAATATCTTCCATTTTGAGACAACGGGTGTTTTCTGATCTTGAAAGATTCAGGATTTTGAGTGATTTCTACGAAACTTTCGAAATATCTAGGGAAATGTGACTTCTAAATTTGGTGAAAATTTCAAAGCACTATCTGAGTTGGTTCAGAAGAGGTGAATTGTTAAAAGACAGAGCAGAGCGCAGCTGACTAAAACCATCCATTTTGAGACCGGTATTTACTGGGCTGATAAAACACAGGATTACCGGCAATTTCCTTGAAACTTTCTCAATGTGTAGGGCGAAGGACCTTCTAAAAATGGTGATCATTTCAAGTTGATACCTGCTTTAGTGTGGAAGAGACGATTTTTTTAAGGAGAGGGCGCTGTTGACTAATACCTTCCATTTTGAGATGGGCATTTACTGAGCTGGAAAATTCAAGGTTAAGGGCGATTTTCATAAAAGTCTGCATCTGCAAGGAATGGTGTCTTATATATATAGTAAAAATTTTCAGTACTTATGTACTACCCGCGTTGGTTTGGAAAAGGCGAATTTTTAAAAGAGAGAGCTTAGTTGAATCAACCTTCCATTTTGAGACCATACTGAGCCGATTAAATTACCGGCGATTTTGATGAAACTTTCTGAGTGTGTAGGGTGAAGTGTCTCTTCTAAAAATGGCGAAAATTGCAAGTTGCTGCCGGAGTTTGTTTAGGCGAAGCGAATTTTTAAAGTACAGAGCGTAGTTGACTAAAACCATCCATTTTGGACCAACATTCATTAAGCTGGCACAAATCACTGTTACGCGCCATTTCTATAAAACTCTCTGAATATGTAGGGCGAAGTATCTTCTAAATATGACGAACATTTCAAGTTGGTACCTGCTTTAGTCTGGAACGGGCGAATTTTTAAAAGAGGGCGATAGTTGAGTAAAAACATCCAAGGCAAAAATCGTCTATTTTTGATCTGAGATCACTTATATCAAATGATTCTATTTTCACTAGAGTAATTGGCACAATTTAACTTTGGAACACCCTGTAAATTTCCCACATACTCGATCCATTAATTGGCGATCATTGTCAGAAAACAAACTCTCAAACAGAAAAAACTGCATTGTTATTCACACAGTGAATTAGTTGTGTGCCATATTCAATCGCTATAAATATCAATGACAAATTGGGATCGTTCTTCTAACACAAAGCCCTTGTGTGTTTCGCGTTTGCTGGCATTGTTTATCGTTTCTTAGAATGTGGTTTCATGGACCCCACCTTCTGCAAATCAAACTACGTAAAATTATTTTAATACATTTCAAATGACAAGCCATTTATCGCGGTAATTCATGTGTAAACACCTACTTTAAAGCCCGACCGACTCGCCCAACTTAACCCCTATGGATTATTTATCTGGGCTCAGTTCAGTTTGATCAAGGCAACGGGGGAAAATTATCAACATCGTCGATAACTGTAAGGTTTACATGGGAATTTCCGAAAATCGATATCTTAAGTTTCAGGAGATAGTTAATGTCCAAAGTCCGAATAATTCGTATTTATTTGGTTCATTTGTAGCGAACATTGTCGAAACAGCGTAAAAACGCAAATAGTGTTGATTACCTGTTGATAACCCACTTAAGAGCAATAAAACGTTTTATAGTTACCTATTTGTAATGTGAGTGTACATAACAGTTCCATTGAACTGCAATGCATCATGATTAGAAAGGAAATAGGCGTATTAAAATAGCCAGGTGTGGGATGGTTTGATGTTTGGGTGTATTAGATTTGGATAATAGCGGATTTCTCTCTTGGATTACCTACTTTAGGCTGAATTGGTATTTTAACCACTTTCGATAGGCTCGTAAATAAATCGCATTTGGTTAGACCGGCTAGAGAGAACGCAGAGCAATATTTTTGAACATACTCACGCAAAATTTCCTTCTTCAAACACACGAATAATTTAATATATTGTATACTTGAAAATGTCAGGTATAAGTGGCAAAAGGCATACGGGCAGGTAAAGGAGCCTTTGTTAATAGGAAAGTTCGCAGAATTTCTTAAACGATCATTATTCAGAACTGTCTTTCTGCGATCATTGGGTCTGCCAAGTCGTTTTGGGGCACGCCACTGTTTGCAGATTTATTGTTTTAAACCAGTCATTTAGATGAAGAAAATTTAGCCTTTGTGTCTTGATCGAACAACAGAACAAAATTCTGAGGCCAAGCAGGTGGCTGTAACATTTGTATACCTACGGGAAGAGTTACGAACACGGTAAAATAAAAAATATGTTAAAAGCCATTTCTGGTTGTGGTATAACCTTGGAAGCCATCTGCCACTATTAGAGGTAGCAAGCAGGCTATTTTCAATGCAGGTTTTAGCCGGTTGGTCTCGCCACATCTCACCGTCTGTGAATGTAAATATCGTCAACTTAAAAAAAATAAGCAGGTAATTCACACTTGGAGTTAAAAAACATTTGGCGTAGCTCATAAATGATGTGAGTATTTTCGTCTGGAAGTTAACGAAAATTGGCTTGCAGAAAAATCATCATTCAATCTAATGGTCAATCAGGTGATTCATCAACTGTCCAAATTTTCGAAACATTTAAGAGACGAGCGCAGTTGAGTAGAAACGTCCACTATACAGAGCGAGATTTTCTAATGTGGCAAAAATCAGGATCCAAGGCAATTTATATGAAACTTCACATGTTTGTAGACTCAAGTGCAATCTAAATTTCGTGACAGTTTCACGTTGCTACTTGCTTTGGTTTGGAAGATGCGAATTTTTGAAGCAGATGGAGTAGACATCGATTTTGACACCGATATTTACTAAGTTATCAAAACTCAGAATTCTGGGCGATGTTTAGAAAACTTTCAGTATCTATAGAGTTAGGTTTCTTCTAAATATGGTGAACATTTGAAGTTTCTACCTCCGTTGGTGCTAAAAATAAAAATTTGTAAACGACGAAGCGTATTTCACTGAATCCATCCATTTTGAGACCGGTATTTCCTGAGCTGGCAAAAATCAGAATTGCAGCCGACTGATATAAAGCTTTGAAAGTCTTTAGAGTCAATAGTCTTCTAACTATACCGAGAATAGCAAAGTGTTGTTTGCTTTGGTTTTGAAGATGCAAATGTTTAAAGGAGAGATTGCAGTTGAGTAAAAACATCCAACTTGACACCGATACTTATGAAGCTGGCAAAACTCGGGATTGTGGGCGAGTTTTTGAAACTTTTTGCATCTGAGGGCTAAAGCGTGCTCTAATTATGGCGAAATTTTCAGAAAGCTACCTGCCTTCGTTTGGAAAAGTGAATTCTTAAAACAGAAAGTGCAGTTGACTAACACCGTCCATTTTTCGACCAGTTTTTACTAAGCTGACAAGCGCTCAAGATTACGGGCTATATTTATGAATTTTTCTGGATCTGCAGATTAGGCTGCATACTAACTATGGTGAACATTTAAAGTTGCTAAATGCTTTATTATGGAAAGACTATTTTTTAAAAGAGAGAGCACAGTTAACTAAAATCATCCATTTTCAGGCCTGTATTTACTGAGCTGGCGAAGCTCAGAATTTCTACTGATTTTTATGACACTTTCTGAGTCTGTAGGGCAAAGGGTCTTCTAAGTATGGTGAAAATTTCAAGTCAATGCCTGCGATCGTTTGGAAAACACGAATTTAACCATTAAACTCAAGTCAAATGCTAACCTGCGCTATGTTCTAAAAATCTCCAACCGGGGGAATTTATTAAGCCTAAATAAATGCTCTTGACTGTTTGCTCGGGCATTTAGATAACTGAAATTTCCGTATGTGTTTAACATAACATCCGAA